AGAGGGTCCCCATTACCCTCTGAAATCACTGAGAGCTGGACTCAGCGATGGAAACTAGACCATGATGTTGTGGCAGAGAGACAGAGGTGGCAATAGGATATTGGCAGCAGAGTGAATGACTGCAACAGCAGAGTGAATGGCAATGACAGTGAGCCAGCTGCCGCAGCAGCACAACAGCCCCACCCCCCCTCCCCCGACTCACTATCTATGGGTGATGAACTCAGATGAATGTAGTTCTGAACAGCAGGTCTTCACTGATCAACGACAGGAACTGTGGGCGTGGTGCAGTGAAGGGAGAGGGAGTAATGTGTTAAACTGAGGCAAAGGTTACCACCCAATATGCTCTGGGGTTGGTGTTTGCTCATGGTAATTTGCTTCAAAAGTGTGATTGTGGTCCCTTCCCCCCCAAACTAACGCTGAGTTCCTTTCCCCCATTTATTACAACTTTTCTGAACTCGCTTCTTGTGAGAGTGGAAGTATTGCCTCTCAGAGACACCCAAAGGTGGGTTTTAATTTTCCCAGATTACTAAGTGGGGGCTTAAGTCACTTCTGCTTTGTATTGCTAAGAGAAATCTCTAGATGTTGAACCTGGCCCTTGTTGCCGCTGACTCCACCTAGTAGAAGGATTACATATGTTTACATCCAAAGTGTATATCTGTCCATACATATTTTCAAGACTAACCCTATTAGAAAAGAACTTTGCATTGCTCCACACATAGAGCTTTCATGTGAAGTCAGTGACAATTCTGTGTAGAGAAAGCTGTGAGATCTGCCCCCACAATATATACATGGAACACCAATGTTGTGCTGTTGGCAGTGACAACATAGCTGTTACCCTGGGCTGTGGTGCCATCGGGAGGTGGGATGGGGGGGCAAGGGTTTGAAGGGAGAGTGCGTGGGGCTAACTAGACAGCAGTGCTGATGATGCAGAGGCAGCCACAATGTACAGTGATATGTTGGTTGCCCTTGTGTTAATTCCTGGCTGCGTGGAGGAGGCCTGAGGCTCAGAGGGCAGAAAGGAAAATACAAATAAAAATATGAGCTGCAAATATTTCATAAGTTGAGGCATTATCTGAAGATATCTGTCAGGTTGTGTGTTGTCAGGTAAAGTGAAATGCAATGCCCTGATTCTGCAAGTGGAGCTGCTTTTGGTGGCAGCATAGAGCTCCACCTGGGGAGCAACTGCAGAATATATCCTTTCCTACAGAAGGGTCTTGGAGGTACCTCCTTGTGGAGTTGTAGAAGCTAAGGTTGAGGATGGAAAGAATCATCTTAATCAGGTATTGCTCTTCCTTACTCCTCATTTGTCTTCCCTGAAATCTCCAAGTTTCTGGCTGGCTAGTGGGATGCCACAGTGTCTTTTCTGGTAGTAGTCTACTTGCTGTGGAGTTAAACTACATCACCCGAGGAAAGACTTTGATGGCAGCAAGAACCCCCGGACCTGAAATTATTTCTAATTGGTTTGGGGCTGAGCTCACAGAGCCAGGATTGGACTTTGCAAAGCATTGCACCCAACTAAGAAGGCAATCTGGCAGCAACTACAGCTAAATGTGAGACAAACACTGCAAAATATTTTGTGGTTTGACAAACCCATACAACAAAATAAGCTTTGGCCTTTTTCTCCAGTGCTGTGAATCTCTCTTCTCACTCCTTTATATTTATCAAACAAGTGTGAGAAGCCACAGGTCCTGCACCCAGGGCCATTGGCTGCTGCCACATCCACAATTCCACCTGTCAGCTCTGCCGGAGACTGGCAAATTGGGAGCCCTACAGCCGTACATTCCACTGAAAGTATCACCCACAAAGGCCTGTTTGGAGGAGCTCTGGAGGCCCTAATTGGACCAAGTCCCCTATATGAGCCAGAAAGGGACCCAAGAAGTGGTCTGCACAACAAGGTGGATCCTGGCTTGCTGTTGCTACTCCCAGCCTAGTCCCTGGTTTGTGGATTCATCATGGCCTTTTTCCTTGTTCTTGCCCTTGTTCTCTGACTGACCCTTGGCATGGCTCTCTGACTTGAATACCTGCTCCAGCCTCTTGCATGGTTCTTGTACACAGTGAGCACAAAGGTGACCTAAAACTACCCCTCCATCTCTGTCTTAAGTGCCTAAATGGTGTAATTGCAAATCAGGCCAAAATAATATTGATTGCATGATGATAGGCATAAAGGTGAAAATTTAATAATACGATCAGTTTTCCTGATCTCATAATATTTTAAACAAGAACATTTCTTTTGTTTAAAGTGACACTAACAGGTTAAAAAGCATATGGGTCAGATTTCAGGCAGCATAAATTGGTACTGATCCATAGAAACCAAAGTACTGTCACACCAATTCATACCAGCTATTAAATGCAAAGAAATAATTTACACCCTTGTAACCAATAATATTGCAGTATCTAAACAATAGACTAATCTATGATGTTTGCCTTGGCTATCTTTTACATCATACTCCTAGCACTCCAAATGAGATTTTTATACTAGTCTTGAAATCAAAATGCTAAGTACCATATTCTGCCCTGTGTTATGCTACTATAAAACCAATTACTCCAATGAAGTCACACTGCAGCAGTAAGTCAACCTAAGTTATTCAGCTCCAGCTACGTGAATAACATACCTGGAGCTGATAAAGCTTAGTCACCTTACTGCTGCTGTGTCTAAACTGTGTTGGGTCAACAGAGGATGCTCTCTTGTTGATTTACCTTAGGCCAGGTTTACACCTGTGGAGAAAATCAATAAAAGATACTAAGGGTGTAAAGAGGTGGGTAACTGAGAAATTGTGTAGTCGACACAATTTGTATCGACAATGAGTTGATAAGGGAAGGTGTTACCTCCGCTGCAGCTATACAGCTTAAATGAAATAATGTAGCCTGGCTCCTACTACATTTAAACTACAGAGATGAAGCAGGGGTATCTCCTGGACCCGGCATGAGCAAGGATTGAGCTGGGCTTGCTCAGTCCAGGAGCTGGGACAAGGCAGCCCCTGTTCTACAGAGATGAAGCAGGGGTATCTCCTGAACCTGGCATGAGCAAGGATTGAGCTGGGTTTGCTCAGTCCAGGAGCTGGGACAAAGCAGCCCCTGTTTGCGGGGGTCCCAGCAGGGAGTTGGGCCCCCCCGCAGACTGGGGCTGCTGCTTGTGCAGCCTCTCTTCCCCCCTCCTCCCACAATGATGCCTCTGAGAGGTTGCGGTGAGGGGGCAGGAAAGCAGCACTGCAGAGACAGTGTTGGGGGGAACTGGCTTTTAAGCCGGCCCTCCCCAGCACCTCTACCTCTCCCCCCTACACCTTGCTGCCTCTTAGTTGACTTAAGTACTCGATAAGCCTAGGCTTATCAGGTAGTCAACTAATTGACTACTTTTTTACATTCCTACAAAATACACAACTCTATTTACGTGATTTGCATAGCTGGAATCGACATGTCCTGCATCAATTTTCTGGGGTGGCCCCATAGTGGGAGGTCGACAGGAGAAATTCTCCTGTTGACTAACCTTACTCCTCACAACAAGGGGGGGGGGGTACCATGGTCAATGGGGGCACCTTCAGCATTTGATTTACGGGGCTTTACTAGATCTGCTAAATCAAACCCAGGAAGAGCTATTGCTCAAGCGTTGCTCCTCCGGTAAGTGGAGACATGGGTAGAATACAGAGGCGGATTTGGGGCAGGGTGAGTGGGGTGGCTGCCCCGGGCCCCGCGCTTGCAGAAGCCCTGCGCATGCGCCGTGGCGCCACGGCGCATGCACCGTGTCAAAGGGGGGGAGGGGCTGCGAAATTGTGCTGCCCAGGGCCCCGCAGCACTCTCATCCGCCCCTGGTAGAATACCAGGGTAGAATACTAGGGTTGACTGGAGAACGATCTGTAGTCGATTTGGTGGGTCTTCAATAGACCTGCTAAATCAACGCCCCCCCCACCATGCATTGACCCAGCTGTAAACGTAGCCTGAGTTACTCTCACTATATATTAGCATAACTTGCAGCAGAATCTGTCCCCAAGTGAAAAAATATTGATCCTATATTTCTTTTGCTTTTCTTTTCTCTCACTTTCTGGCATTTTAAAGACTATATCTACAAACACACAGAGATGAGCAGAGTAATATTTTGTATATGATTCTACTATAAACACCTTATGTCCATCATATACATCAACCGTATAAAGCACTACAGAGGAAACCTGCCAGTAGAGATAGCACACATCTCTGGAGTCTGCTAATGTATCAGATGCCACAATTGAGTTTTGCATCAGAAAGAACCCCTTGATGCCTTCATATTATGTTATAGCTCACACTTACCTGGGTAGTATCCCCTTCTCTGTGTATGCAAATATTTCTTTATATATGATGTATACATATGTATTATATACACACATATATGTACACACAAATACAAGCATATGTACCATATATTCACAGCACAATTCCTTGTTTACAAAGTAGTTATGAAAAAGTAATAAAGATCATCTTCTTTTCACAAGATCTTGTACTGCACAGTAGCTTCTAACAATCGGCTATCATCTCCATCACCATATATCACCTTCTTACAACACCTCCAACAAATCTGAGCTACCAAGGAAGTTGTTACACTTGATATAATAAAAGGTGCGATATGGGTATATATGCAGTTGTGTATATATGTTATTATTAACCATGCATAGAAATCAATATGAATACAATATAAATGATGCTATAATCATGCTGTTCTAGTACAATTTGCAGGGGAAACCATAACAAATATTGTAGTGTGAAAATAGCAAAACCATAATCTGCCTTTAATGCTAAACCAAAATTGGTCTATTGATGTGGTGATTTTTATCCAGAATGCACATTATAGAATTCTGTTCCACTTGCACAACCCCCTTTTTTAAGTGCTACAGTGTAGGTGAGCTACTTAGAAGAAAAGCACAAAAATGCTATCTGCAAAAATGTTTTTAAAAGAAATGAAAAGTTTAAGCACCAACACCCCACAACTAAAAGTAAAACGCTGAGGAAAGAAAACAAAATAAGGAACTTACCACACTGCGAGTGAACTTTTCTAGAGAAGTTCTACGACCTTGCTCATTCTCTGGCTTTAAGGGGAAAAAAAGTGGGGAGAAAAAATACAGAAAAAAAATCTTCAGCTTAAATGCAGTTTTTTGAAACAGCAGCAAAAGATAAAGAAGCAAAAAAACCCAAAAACAAAAACCCAAAATAGCAGCAACTGCTGTTTGTTGCTACGGCAAACATAAAACCCTTAAAGAATGAGAGCCACCAGCTACCTTAATTGTTGGAGAATGTCACCTTTCTTCTCCTCTGTTATAAATGTGGCTCTGATTTAAAGCTATAAAACAGGGTTTGTGTGGCATTGTGTCCCATAGCCATTGTTATTGATCTCTTGTTGAACTTTCCTTCTGTAGCTGTTTGTGCAGAGACCTCGGATTCTGGTTAACATCTGCCAAACAGCTGATTGGAGGCTCCTATTCAGATTTTAGAAAGAAGAAGGAACCACATCAACTTTACAATTTTGGAGGTAGCAAATATAATACTGGAGAAAACAGTGTTGGAAACAGAGCCTGAACTCCTCTGTTTACTGGGAAGGAAGAAGCAGATTTTCACCACACTGCAGCACTCAATATGCCTCACCCCTTCTCAGGAAAGGCTACCTCCAGCAAATGCATACTGCTGGGGAAAGATGAGGCCATATTTTTGGCTCTGGTTTTGGTTAATACAGAGCATAGGGGTATTCACATGCTAGAAGTCATAAAACTTCATTGCAATAAGACTGAAACACATACACCATTGGCTTATTAATATTTCCATGAGGAACATGGCTCACCTCAACACTGAACAATGTTTCATTTGGTACAAGACAGATTCTTTCCTCATTAGAGGTCAAAAGAAATTGAGTTATCGTCATGTTTATCTGTATGTTGAATCGAAAAGACCTAATGGGGGAAAAACCCCACCACCAGTATACCACACCACCAACCTTTCCACTAATTGGCTGCATTTAGACATCAGTAAAGAGAGGTAGAGAACACACCATGTCGCTACATTTACACAGATCTGTCCAATCCAGCAGAACAGCTGCAGATAAAGTATTCAGGAATTTGAGAATCAGCTCTTAAAGAGACTTGAGGAGTACAGTGAGATACAGGGCTCCCATCCCACACTTGACCTAATTTTCAAAAAACCTAATTGAAAGGGTCTGCAGAACGCTCTCAGTACTGATACATTCTCTGAGGAACAAGCTATTCAGAAGGAATGCCTATTCCATGTAGTGCATGATTAAATTGGTCCAAGCATAAATGGGTACTCTCCATTTTACAGCTGTATGGTCCCATCTCCAAGATTTCTTATAGATAGATTTGACTGTGTACAGAATAAAGTGGAAATACTCACACCACAAGTGACAGACTGAGGATATCTCTGTATCAAACTGTGAAACCTAGTTTGTTTCAGCAGCTCTGTTTTGTACTGTAACCTTCTTGGAATGTGACCTTCATGTTGAGTTGCAACCTCCAGGGTCGATTAGAGCATCCATTTTGGGGCAGGGACTTGGAGCTAGTGGAAAATTCTAAAAAGCTGAGACTGAGGAAACAAGGGCCATCAATACTGGATAACTCTTCCCTAATAGAACAATAGATTTTTCTACCAGGACAGTCATTGACTTTGAAGATGATGGGCACATAGCTGAAAGAGAAGTGCTTCTTTAAGCAAGAGGGCAGACTACTGCTACTTGCAAGTAAGAAAACAAGAAGGGCTGCCTAGGCACATCCTGGACTCACAAGAAGTGGGAGAGGGGAGATCAGGTTTGGGAATGTTCAAGACCTATAATTCCCTAGTGTGCTTTGTTTAAGAGCAAAGTGCATGGCTAAGAAATTCCTTTATTAAGCCTGCTTTCCTGGCTCATCTGTTGCTGAATGAGTTAACTGAAAAAATGAGATTCCACAGCCAGGTGGCTCCTGGGGGAACATGTCTAAGCAATTTGGACATATTCCATGGCCCAAGAATAGCATCAGACACAGGGGATCCATCTGAGAGATCCATGGTCAGGAACAATGATGAGTCATTACCCATATGCAGGAGTCTTAGAAGCATATGGGTTCTAGCAGAGGGATCCACTAACTACTGGCTGGTATACATCAGCTCTACAAATTATGGAGAGAACAGGAGAAGATGGCCTATACTTTGTTATTGAAAACCGTAGAAATTGTGTGACTGTAGAGAGAAAGCTTTGAGACAGCATCCTGGAAAGAAACTTATCTGAATGTGGTAAACCAGGAAAAAGATTATATTGGAAGGATACAACTTACACTGTTGAAGAGGGAAGAAGAGAGAACCATGCATATGAGCTTAAACCCTTAAGAGAAACAGATACAAGTGAAGTACTTCTTTAGAGTTTTCTGCCTGTGATTAGCTCACAGCTGTGACTTCAGCTGAATATCAACCCAAAGGGACACAGCAGGAGTACAGAAACAACAAACAGAAGATACAAAGAATCCAAAAGGAAGACAGGTGAATTGACGAAGGCACCTGTAATTGGCTATGTGCCAAGCCGTTAGCAGACTATACAGATACTTGATTACATCTACCACCAAAGAGCAGCACTTTAATGATCAATAAAACAACGTTTAAAAAACTGTATTCATTTACTGTGATTTTTAATGATAAGTAGTGAATTTCTGTAGTGTGGGAAGAGGAACTGTGAAACTCTGCGCTTTCAATATTGGTGTTTACCTTTGTAGACTACATTGATATTCATACTCCAGCATCATGTATAAAACAATGTTAAATTGAGGGGTTAGGTCAAATATGTTAAAATGGCCAGTGTAATTCCAAACTGGACCACCGGGGGAGCTGTTCATTATGGCTTCCATGTGGTACACCAGCTGCACTGCTTTGCACAGTATAAAAGCTGACATATTAAGTAAATAAAGGAATAATAGGCAAGGGATGGTGCAGACAACTGGACTTTTCCCTCTGATTTTTGTAAACTGTTGGACATTCAGAGAAACCTACCCTGCCCAAAGAAGTCCAGGATAAATCAAGATTGGGAAGAGTCCCGCACAGAAAGACGACCTCTGCTTGGAGTAGTTAAGGAGAAGTTGTTGTAAGTGATGGTATTAGTCTTATTGCATTAAATTTCTGCTTTCCAAGTGAATGCTTAACGTCTGTGAATTACAGCCCTTCTACCTAACCAAAGTGCAACACCTTCCATGATGCCTGCTTAGTGCCCGTTGTGACAGTGATCTTTCTGAGTTGGATTTCTTTTGAACCTGTCATAATTTGGTCACTGTATCATAGCCACTAACTTTGGGGGACTGAACCAGGACATTCAGACCTGAAAGCAGAAATATTTATTACTGGAGCTAAAGGACCAGACTTGATAGCTAAGGCCCATAACAGATCTATAGTGTGTGTGGATTGGACTTGGTGCAAGGAACATACTTCATATGCACACCACAGTGTGGGAGTGGAGGGGAAGGTGGAAGATACAACAAGCCTTTAGACTCACTCGTGTGTGGTCTGCATAAGAGCAAGTCACAGCTGCAATGGGGAACTACGGAAATGCTTCCTTCTAAGCACTTGTAGGTGGGCATGTCCCCCTAAGGAGACACATAGAACAGGTAGGAAGGAAGTGAGGCATGGAGCTGCCCTTTGACACAGATTGGGCCAAGTGCACAAGCAAGAAGCAATCCAGAGGACAATACAGACTGTGCAGTTTCTTTGCATGTTAGAAGCACAGTCCTTTCCTGAGAGTGGTGTAGCTAGGAGTGGAAAAGTGGGTGAGCCCTGACTTTTGGGTAGATGAGCAGTGACAAAGTGCTAGCTCAGCTTCTCCCCTGACAACACACCCTCTTCTTAGCCCTGATGCCTTTAGACACTGGGCATCACCTGGTGAGCTAAGCACATGCATGGAGCTGCTCGGAAAATGGCAAAGCAGAGCTGTTGGAGCGTAGCTTTCTGAAGGGCAGGTGCATAGCTCGGTCTTGGATCTCAGGTGCCCGACTGCCACTGTGGCATCATTACACCCATACTCAGAGCTGGATGGGCCCGGACCTAATTGAGTGGGGTGGGGCCCAACCGTGATTGTGCCCCCTACTTCTTGACCTCTCATTGAGGTGTTGAAGCTTTGCCTTATCCCCAGCAATGCTCAGTGCCTTAAAGGCAAATGTTTTACAATGAAATGTCACATTTAGGCCAGTGGTTTTTAAACTCTTTCCACAAAACTTATTCTCCCACATGACCTCTCTGAGGGTATGTCTACACTACCCCGCTAGTTCGAACTAGCGGGGTAATGTATGCATACCGAACGTGCAAATGAAGCCCGGGATTTGAATTTCCCGGGCTTCATTTGCATAAGCCGGCCGGCGCCATTTTTAAATGCCGGCTTGTTCGAACCCCGTGCCGCGCGGCTACACGCGGCACGGGCTAGATAGTTCGAACTAGCGGGGTAGTGTAGACATACCCTGAGATATGTTCTGACCCTATCTATGGAAACAAAAAAAGGTCTGTAACAATTCACAAGCCTCACAGTGTCTTGTCCCAGTTATGATTCTTATAGCAAACATAGGAATAGTTTAACATCTATATTTGGGGGAACATGGTCCCAAACCAGCAGCTGCTGCTCTTTGGTCACCCAGCTCAAAAGGCCGCTGGGTGGCATCGCAGAACAGAGAACTGGGAGGCTCAAGAGCGGTGGCTTCTGGCTGAGGAGTTCATGTCGTTTATGACACGAGAGGGCTGTTTTTAATCCTGCTCCTGTCCTGCCCTGCAATACCCATTCCTACCTGCTGCCAGGCTGTTTCTTGAATTTTTATCCCACACCCACTCTTATGGCAGTGGGACCTGTGGGATCTCAGATCTAGAGCAGAGCTCTGCTCTGAAGGCAGCATTGCCACTAGTAGCATTATAGAAGTAAGGAACATAATGGGGGCAGGCGGAACTTGAGGGCATCCTACTCCCTTTGTAGAATGATGCATGGAGGCTTAGAAGTTTCTAATCCTTTGGGGTAGGGAAGGGGAGATTAAGAGGTTGCTCATTCCTTGTAGGGGTGAATGAGGACTCTGATCTCTGCCTGGATGAG